CCTGGCAGTGGGCAGCGGGGCAGCCGCTGTGCCACGGGGCTCAGGAGCGCCCGTCCCCACGGAGGGGCTGTGCCACGTTGTTCTCTGCCAGCCACCTGCTTGCTGTCCCCTGCTGCTGGCTGCCAGCAGGGCGAGGCCAGGTTGCTGGGGACGGGGCTCTTGGCAAGGACAGTGACGCCACATCGCAAGTTCACTCCGGCTCAGCCTCCCTCGCTCCTGGCCCCCGGGGAGGTGATGAGTCAGGCCCCAGCCCCGACCAGTGGGTGCTGGGTGGATGTGTCTGTAGAAGTGACCTGAGAAGTGGCGATGGGTGGAGGGAGGGACAGCCCGGCCTCACCCAGCCCGGTCCGGGTGTGCTGCAGGCTCAGGTCCCCCCACCTTTACGGGGCCAGGGCTCACTGTCGTCTCTCGGCACAGAGCTCGATGGCAGGATCTTGTGAGATCAGCAACATCTTCTCTAACTACATCAGCGCCATGTACCAGCCAGAGGAAGTGCAGCCAACCTTGGACATGCTGGGACACCTTGGGGAAGACAGCAGCCTGGGGCTGAGTGTCCCCACCAGCCAGCCCCCGTCACAGGGCACAGGTAGGACCGGGGGAGTGGTGGTGTCAGCACTGGGCAGCTGTCACGAGGGGCAGCTGTGAATCTGTGCCTCTGGTTTGGAAGAGCACTGCAAGGTCATTGTCCCACTGAAGCAGATTACCACGCCTCAGTTTTCCCAGGGAAAGGCAAAAAGGCTGTGGCAGGAGACCCCAGGTGGCACAAGGTGTGGCTGCTGGGAGCACACCTGGTGTATACAGGGGATGAGGGTATCGTTGTCCCCTACCCCTGCACAGCCCAGAGGACAGACTGCCAGTGCTCACCAGGAGAGCAGTTTGGAAGTAGAATCCTGGTGATAGGGGACCATCATGCGATGGTGCTGGGAGAGGCACAGGGAGCACACCAGCAGAGCAGGGTGGATCCCAGCATGGGCAGGGCAAATGGCACTGAAACCAGTGGTGGGGGGAGTGTGGGGTCACTGCTGTCCGCAGGGCAGGGTGCCGAGGGCCCTTTAGTGCCATAGCCCTCTGTGCCCTGCGGGATCACTACCGGACCAGAGCTGGTGCCCAGCGACTGCCAGCAGCCTGTGCAGGACACATGGTGCTGGCACAGCTGCCCTGCCCTGAGCCCTCTCTCCGTCCTTTGCAGACAAGCCAGAGTGGTTCAATGAGCTCCCATACTTCTGGACCAAGGTGCAGGTGCTGGAGTGGATCAGCTACCATGTGGAGAAGAACAAGTATGATGCCAGCTCTATCGACTTCTCCTGCTGCAACATGGATGGGCATGCGCTCTGCCACTGCACCAGGGACCAGATGCGCCTGATCTTTGGGCCCCTGGGGGATGAGCTCTATGACCGCCTGCATGAGATTAGTGAGTGTCCCAAGGTCCCCGTCGTGCCCAGGCCTGGCAGCTTGAAGCAGGAGGCTGACAGCCCCCCACTAACCCAGGATCTCCTGCTTCCTGGGCACTGCCGAGGCCATGGGGGGGATGTGGGGGCACAGACCAGAGTCCAGACAGGGCTGGGTTTGGCTCTTCATATGTACCGTTCACCTCCATACGGAACAGGCATTGCTAATCCCAGTCCCCTCAACCCCGCAGCCTCGGATGAGCTGAACTGGATCATTGACTTGCTGGAAAAAGAGGATGCAACTTCCCAGACCTTCCTGGACTCCAACCACCTGGGTAAGAGAGGGGTCCTGGCCAAGCCTTTTCCACAGGGACCATGCGCTGATGCCAGCAGGGCTAACTATTCTCTGCCCCTTCCAGACCTGGGAAATCCCTGTACCAAGGACTCCCTGGAAGACATGAAACCCACAAACCCTTTCCTATCCACAGACTTCACCTGCTTGCCTGGTGCCATGTCCCCAGGCAGCTCCGATGTCTCAGGTCAGTGTTTTGCCGAGGGTGGATTTGGTTCTTGCAGCAGCCCAGTGGTGAGGGAGGCAAGAGGAACCAAGGGGAAGCATGTCCAGATGACAGCAACTGGTGGTTTGAGCACTCTCCCTTTGTCTCTCAGGGCCTGTGATGTCCCACAGCCCCAACTCCCAGGACTCCGGTGGAAGTGACCTCGACCTCGACCCCATCTTCCCTGATGGTTAGTTGTTTGCTTCCTGCCAGGAGCTGGGAGGGGAGGGCTGGCTCCTAGGCACTTCTGCACATCCCACCTGGCAATGGCTTAGGGATAACACCTGAACACCCATCCTCACACTGGGAAGGAGTGAAGGGTCTGTTTCCCTGTGTGCTCTGGGTCTGTTTCTCTCCATTGAGCAGGGTGATGGTGCAGGCTCTGGCAGAGCTGGGATAGCTGGGCAGTGTTGAACTGGTGGTGGGTGGTAGCAGCTGCAGCCAGAAATCCTGGGCTCTGAAATCGGTGTTCGGTATTGGTCCTAGCTGGTGATAATACTGGTAATACCAGGAATGCAAGGAAGCAGTAGGGTCTGGGGACGGAACATGCTGCCCTAAGCATGGTGTCATGGATGAGGGTGGCGTGAGGCTGGAGGGAATGGGGAGACCTTGCTCTCAGAGGATGTTTCCTAGGTACCGGGGCCTGAAAAGAGGGTGCAGCTCCTGCTCTCACCCCAACCAGCTCTCCTATGTACTTCTGCTCCCAAGAAGGACATCCCTGTGCCCAGGGAGAGGGCTGTAGCCTGCCAGGCACTGCCCAGCCTGACATGTGTCCCTCTCTGTGTGCACAGACCACTTTGCAGGGAGCAAGAAAGGGGACAGTAAACACGGCAAGCGGAAACGGGGACGGCCCCGAAAACTCAGCAAGGAGAGCAGAGACTGCCTGGAGAACCGGAAAAGCAAGCACTGTACGTGAACCGTCCAGCCTGAGAGCTTGGACTACTCCCCCTGCTTGGTTCCATGGGGGATGATGGGAGGAAAGGCCATGTGTGCTGGCCGTGCCCCTTGGCGGGGGGTTTAGGGAGATCCAAAGTGCAGGGACCCGCAGGATCTTCCTCCTCTACAGCTCACTCTCCTCTTTCAGCCCCAAGAGGTACTCACCTGTGGGAATTCATCCGGGATATCCTGATCCACCCCGAGCTGAACGAGGGACTAATGAAGTGGGAGGACCGACGGGAAGGGGTCTTCAAGTTCCTGCGCTCAGAAGCTGTGGCTCAGCTCTGGGGCCAGAAGAAGAAAAACAGCAGCATGACCTATGAGAAGCTGAGCAGAGCCATGCGGTGAGTGTCCTTCCCTGTCCTGGAGGGACCTGCCTCACACAGCCAGGACAGCCCCATCAGGGCTCGACCTGAGCTTCCCAGCAGCTCCCCAGTGCGTGGGGCTGCATCCAGAGCCCTGATTCCACTTCCATCTCCTCCAGATATTACTACAAACGAGAGATCCTGGAGAGAGTTGATGGGCGGCGACTGGTGTACAAGTTTGGGAAGAACTCCAGTGGCTGGAAGGAGGAGGAGGTTCTCAACAGGAACAAGGAGCTGTAGGAGTCCTGGATGAGCCAGGGTTTGATGAGCCCCTCAGGGCCAGCCCCGAGCTGGGCTCCTTGGCAGGAAACTTTGCCTGCAGCTGTATCTGGAAGCTGCTGTCCTGTGCAGCGTGTGGAATTCTGACCCTCGCAAGGGCACACACGTGCTGGGGACTGCCGGCACCGAGGTGTTTAGAGCTAATACTTTGGCTCCAGTAGGTTATTGTAAACCGTGATTTCCCTCGTTGGATCTGTACCTCCGACTGCAGTCACAGGGACTGTGGCTGTTTCAAAGCCTGGACAGAATCTGGAAGCTGCTGTCCTGTGCAGCGTGTGGAATTCTGACCCTCGCAAGGGCACACACGTGCTGGGGACTGCCGGCACCGAGGTGTTTAGAGCTAATACTTTGGCTCCAGTAGGTTATTGTAAACCGTGATTTCCCTCGTTGGATCTGTACCTCCGACTGCAGTCACAGGGACTGTGGCTGTTTCAAAGCCTGGACAGACGGGGCAGAGGATTGGCAGCTGGGCCCACCGTGAGAGCCCAGCAGGTCTCCTGCTGTGACCCACCTCTTGCCCAGGCAGAGGGGGAGCATGTCTCTGTCACATGTGACTGGACAGACCTTGTCCCAGCCGTGAGGTCCTCCTTCTCACTCCTTGTGCCGTGCTGAAGGTGCCCCCCGTCCTGTTCACTCCACATGCGTTGGGTGAAGTCCACCCAGTAAAGCAGCTTCTCAGTGTGGCACAGACTGAGAGATGATGAGAACATCGTGGAGGTTCATCTGGCTGCAGAGAGCCCTCAGAGGGGAGAGGATGTGGGACAGCAGGGCCACAGTGCACTTCCAGCCCAGCTGCCTGTATCTAGAAACAGGCCTTTACCCCAAAAGCAGCTTCTAATTTATGTAAGACCCAAAAAAAGCAGAGTGAATGTGCAGATATATTTTTTCATTAGTAAGATGTTCCTGTGTGAGAGTGTGTGTTGTGGGGCACACAAGTGTATGCTGGCAGGTGGTAATGCTCAGCTGGACTGAAGTGATGTCACAGGGGCACAGACTGGTGCTGTGCCAGCCACAGAGGGGGACGCCAGCCCAGCGAGGCACCCAGCAGATGCATGCGTTTTCCTCCTTTTCAAATGGGAACATAAGAAATAAATTGTTAGTTCGTTGGGTTTTTTTGTACCTACCTGTCATTTTTCTTGTTTTTCTTAAAGGCATAGTGGGGATCTGGCTCATCTTAACTGGGATGCCTCATGGCATCTGCCACCACTCCTCCTGCCTGCTGTGACCTGGACCTGCCTAGTCATCCTGGCACAGGGTTACAGGGTCTTCCTCAGGGTGGGGTGGACTTGTCCCAGGCTGGTGGGAGTGAGATCTGGAGGCCTTGGCTCAAAGTTACCCATGCAGGGGCATCTTACACCCTTTCTCAAACCTTGGCCCTTCTGAGGACCCTCCAGAAATGCAGCCCTGGCACAAACATTTCCTGGAGCACTGGCTCCACACCAGAGTTCACCAGTCACTGGCTAATGGGAAACAAAGTCCTGGGGGATCTGGGGAGAGGCATCTCTCAACTACCTCCACATTAAGGTCCCCAGCCTGTCTGGGGTCATGTGTTGTGGGAGAACCTCCAGTCTTTCTCTGGCCAGTGAGACATAAAGTAATACCTAGAAGCAGCACAGGCACTGCAATTTGTTTAAGGCTTGCTTATCTTCCAGCCTGACTGTTTGCTGGCCTCTCCCAGGACCTGGGTGCCCTGGAGGACCATGTACCAGGAGGGGGACCGCTATGGCCTTGCAGTGTGGACAGCCCAAACACATCATCTGCCCCTTCTTGCCCAACACCAGCCTTTCCCAGCCAGTCCAGCCATGAGAAGGCAGGAAGGATGTCTCAGGGATGCTGGGAGGTTCTCTTTGACCCACAGGATATGTCTGTGGGGTGGCAAGAAGGAGTTCAGGGGATTGGAGGACAAGCAGACTCTCAGATATGTTTCTGTCACTAGCTTGGCAAACAGTGGTCTGCATGTGGCTCTTGGTGGGCACATGTTGCCTGCATTTCATGAGAAGCCTTTATAAACACTGTTGGGCATCAGAGGATCTTCCTGCCACCCTGGCATGGTACAGCCCAGGACCTGCTGAATGTGGGCATGGACGGGAGGGACAGCACTGCTTAGTTCCTGCTCACCCTCAAAGGGAAAGGCCCTTGGGACCCCTCTTCTGAGCTTGGAGCTCAACCAGGTCTGGGATGCCCAGGCAAAAAAAAAAAAAAGCTGCGTCGCATCCTTCTGGATGGATTCAGCCAGTGCCTGGAAGGACTAAGGAAGGAAGCCAGACCACCAGCAGGAGGGTGAGGGAAGGTTTTGGGGTGCCCCTAGGCAGTAAAGTTGCCTTGCAAAGCCTGAGATGCTTTTTTAGCAGGAGGATACAGCCATTATCATAGAATCCTGGAGCAATTTGGGTTGGAAGGCATCTTAAATTCTATCTCGTTCCACTCCCTCAGGGGCAGAGATCCCTCCCACTAGACCAGGGGTGGCTCCAAGCCCCATCCAACCTGGATTTGAAGAATTTCAGGAATGGGGCATCCACAGCTTCTCTGGACAACCTGTGTCTCACCACCCTCATGGGGAAGAATTTCTTCCTAATATCTAGTCTACATCTCTCCTCTTTCAGTTTAAATCCATTCCCCCTTGTTGTGTCACTATCTGCCCCTGTTCTCTGACTGCCCTTCATTACTGCCGGAGACACGGTACTGCTAAACATCCCCATCCTGCACTTGCAAGAATGTGACCTGATGCAAAAGAGAGCAGCAGGTCCTTCAAAGCAATGTCTCACACGAACCATCTAGGCTGTGCTGACTGCAACCGCTGGAACTGGCCCCATTCTGCCTGGCTGCAGCTTGAGCATGAGGCTGGTGGCTTGGAGCATCCTCCTGGAGATGCTGCAGTATCATCAAGGGCATGACCCATCTGCTCTGCAGGGCCAGGAGCTACCCATGGCTCAGATCCAACCTCTTTTGGGTGGGTTCAACTGCTGTTTACATGAGGAGTTGCCCTGCTGGTCCAGCTGGGATGCCTGGTCTCCTGCAGCCATGCCATGAATAGACCCCTCTTGCAATTCAGCAAGACATGAGAGGGGATTCGCAGTCATGCAAAATCCCATGATGACAAAACCATATGGAAGGCCTCCATTCCTTGCCTTCCAGTGTGCTGGGGTGAAGCTGTACTGCTCCCAGATCCACATGCTTGCATGAGGCCATCAGGGCTGCCCTGTGGTGCAAGAAGAGGTCCCAGTCCCTGGGTGTGAACCTGGAGCCATTTCATGGTCTGGGCTGCAGCCAAACCTCCATCACATTCCTTGTGTAACCCTCCCCAGGGAACAGGTTTTCCTGGCTGGCATCTGCTGGCTCCAGCAAGCGGAGGATGATCCAGGCCCATCCCTAACCTCCTGGAGCTGCTACAGAGGACAGGCTGGATGTGGTCATAGGACGGACAGTGCTGAGATGCTCGAGCTGCCCACACAGGTGGCATATGTGGGAAGGGGCTGGGATGGCTCTTTGGTGGCAATCAGCATGTCCTGAAGGGACATGGCAAGCAGGGCAAGCCCAGCCCCAGGCCAGGTCCCTGCTGTGCTCCTGGCTGCTGTCCCTCGAGTTTGGAGTTGTGGGTGAGGTGTTTATTCTCCGTGAACAGATAACCCCAGCAGGTTGGCAGTGAGAGGGGAGTACTTTGTCACGCAGCCTGGTGCCCTGCCAAGAGCACCTTGTTTGCTCAAGCAGTTTCATTTCTTTGCCTCTGCGGTTTGTGTTACCTAACTGGCCTGGGACAATGTTTAACCAGCTACGACAGCAGCACAGAAACTGTCTGCCTCACCTCCTGTGCCCATGGTGTCCCCACTGTCATTGCTGAGTGAGGGGCACACTGGTGGGAGGCTTGGGGCAGAGGCAGGGGCTGTGGATCACAGAATGGTTTGGGTTGAAAGGGAACTTGCACACCACCTCATACCAACCCCCTGCCATGGGCAGAGACACCTCTCAGCAGCCCAGGTTGCTCCAAGTCCTGTGCAGCCTGGCTCTTGAACACTTCCAGGGATGGGGCAGCCACAGCTTCTCTGGGCAACCTATGCCAGTGCCTCAGCACTCTCACAGGGAAGAATTTCCTCCTAAAACGTAGTCAAATCCTGCTCTCTGTCAGTGTGAACCATTCCCCCTTGTCCCATTAAGTCCCCCACCTGTGTGGGCACCCTGTGTCAGAGGAGGAGGAGGAAGCAGGTGTCTGTGGGCACAGGTAGGGGGGCCAGATCCTGCAGCCTCCCATGAAATCTGTGTGGTTCTGTGGGTCAAAGAGCCAGGGAGGACTGGAGGAGAAAGAGAAAGACCAGAGACACACCCCAACATAAGTGCACACACCAGCACACATAGGCACACCAACACACATAGGGTAACCCCTACAGTGACCTCCAAGACCATACTGAGCCACCCCAGCGGAGCCTCCCAGCACACTGGCAAGAAAAATAGATGATTTATTTAGTTTTTTATTCTCCTTGGAGGTGCCTAATTTTTACGGCTGTGGGCAAGCCATGACAAGAACTGAAGAAAAAGAGAATTTTCCTCCACAACAGCCTCCCCTCACAGATTTACCCTGGGATCTGCTGGGAAACTGAAAGGTGGTCCCAGGTTGAACATGTTTGTGGTCACCCTTCAAGTCTGAGCATTAAAGTGTGTTTTGTCTCCCCTAAGATTCTCCAAAGGGATGCAGGGGCTGTTGCTGATCCCCAGTCCCAGGTAGGGAAGAGAAGGGTAGTTTACCCTGGCCCAAAGCAGGCTGCTGTGGCTGAAATATGCCAAGTGGGAGCAGAAAAATGGGCTGAGGGAAGAGGTTTCATCTGGGCCAGCAAGAAGGTGTTCAATATCCCACATGCCAGACCATGAACTGCCCCTGAGCACAACAGCATGACCTGATTTTCCAGCTGAGCCGGACTGTGGCCATCCTTGAGCGGATCAGGGTAGATGGGAATGTGGTGGGAATCGGG